TATATATATGTATTGAGATAAAGCAATTTAAAATTTGATAAAGTTTTTATGTGTAATAAACTATCAGAAATGAAATATTTTTCAGAGAGTTTTATAAAACATCAAATTAACTATTTTTAGTTTTTGTTTTCTAAAATTCTTGCGCACAGATATTGCAGCGAGCTATACCCAAAGGCAGCTGCATACAGTCACTGCAACTGGTGCCTGCGGGAGGCGAGCTGCAAATTGATTGCCGGCGAACCTATGTCGGATGGTAGCAGCAGCTCCTCCTCCACCGGCGATGCCCTCATCTTGGCCTCGAAGCTTCGGAGAGGAGTTCCTCTATTGCAGCTGACCATTAAGCCTGTAAAGAAACTCAGGCTGGCTGCGGAGGGTTCACCTCCGCCGCCGGCGGAGAAGGAGAGGTCAAAGTTACCCTTGACTGGTTCGGGAGGAGTGATCAGGCAGGTCTGCAGAGGCAAAGTTAGAAGGTATAAGTTACTTGAAGAAGTCTCAAGCTAAGCCACTACTATATGTATACATATATATAGCTGCATAGTTTGGTAGTGTGAGTGAGGGTAAGAGATATTACATGAACATGAGGTAGGTGTGGATAGGTTTTGATTTCATTTACTGTAATATCATAACAATATCATTCGCATGTAATATTTAATGAATTATAAGTTTGGTTTGTGAGAAACAAATAGTTTTAAAAAACGTGCAAATATATATTTTCTGTTTATAGTAAAGAAAACTAATTATGGGAGAAAATGTGTGGGGAGAAAAGATGACTTGAGCATGTGGATGATATGTCACGTCTTATTTAATTATTGGATAAGAAGTTGTTTTATCAATCTTAATTTCAACTTGATGAAATTCATAAAAATGAAATTAAAGTACTTAAATTATCTGTGTCATCTAGTATAGATGTTTGGATGAAGGTAATGTTGGTCGCAACATGTTACTTCTTGTTCTTCTGTGTTCAACGGCGTGGTACGTTCAATACCGTTCAAATATATTATAAGAGTAATTCAAATATAGATAAGTTATTATCATATTCGTTATTAGCTATTAAAACAGCTCGTGTTCTGCTCGTTAAGAAGCTCGTGTTTGGCTCGTTCGCTAAGCTAATGAGCCGAACACGAACAACACAAACATACACGAACAACACAAACAAATATTTGTTTGTTCGTGTTCGACTCGTTTTGGCTCGAAATACTACCAATTATATATATATATATATATATATACAGG